TTCTAAAATTCTTCGCAAGAATTAAATTATTTTTATAAATATTTAAATTCTTTCATGAATAATAAAATTCGTTGCAGAAATTAAATTTATTAGCAGCATAAGAAATGAAGTAAATATTTTTTTATGAAAATTAGAGAAAAAGTCAGGAAAATAAAATATAGAATGGAATTTTTCTCAGTTTTTTAAAGTGTCTAAAACGAGTTTTTTTGGTCGCCAAGTTTAATTTTTTTGATATCTTCTTTTTTACTCCTTTTTTTAGTTTGAAAGCTACTTTTTAAAAATTAATTATCGAGTGCGAAGTCTGCATTTCGTTAGATAACATTATTCTTCTAGTTCTAAATTATAAATAATATTTCATAATTATATTTTAATATACATTTTCTTAATTCAATATAGAAATTATTGCTTCAAAAAAATTTAATTTAATATCATTGGCGCTATTCGGCCAATAGTTTTTTTTTCTTAGTGTAGGCCTGAAATATTGTCTGCATTTTCAAGAGTTAAAAATTGTTTACAAAAAAAAATCCGAAGTTTGGATTTTTTTTGTTTTAAATCAAAATTAATTGTTTACAAAAAAAATCCGAAGTTATTTAACTTTGGATTTTTTTTTTGTTTTTAATAAAATTCAATTGTTTACAAAAAAAATCCGAAGTTATTTAACTTTGGATTTTGTTTTGTTTTTAATCAAAATTAATTGTTTACAAAAAAAAATCCGAAGTTATTTAACTTCGGATTTTTTTTTTTGCAAACAATTTTTGACTGAATTGCAGATAATTCTACGATTGCTATAACGATGTCAATGTCCTGTAGTTACGAGCTCATCACATATTTATGAATTATGACCAAACTAATAAAACTAGATTTTGTCATAACAACATTTTTTAACTCATTATAATACAAAAAGTATATTGTGAAAATGTAGGAAAATGTATACCCAGTTTAATATAATGTGTGCATTATAATAAATAATAAATTTTCCCTCAAGGTCAGTGTTACCTCTAGAAACTTGCGGAGGATTTCCTGTACATGAGAGTGTATTATTATGCTAAAATGTAGTCATATTTATTATTCAGCTTCTAACAGAGGAAGAGAGATACTCGAGAACCAGTCAGTTGCTATTACGCAGACATTATAAGTTCTCTTATATGTTTCGCTGGCTGGTAACTCACCTTTAGGCGAATATATATTTCTTAGCGGTGACGGCAAGTTCACCGTTAATTACTATAGTATAGAAATTTTATTGACAATCCTATATTGCATAAAGTGGCATAAAGTTCGTTCCTCGAATGCAATTTTCTCTCTATTATATGAGAACTTCATTTAATGTACTAAAATTCAATTAAACCTGATTAATTGCAATGCAAACGGTGATTATCATTTGAATATATACGAGGAAAAGAAACTATATTTTTGCATATGTTTAAAAATCTTGTTTTTAACGTGACTTTAACTTATAAGATAGAATTATACTCTACACACTGAAAAAAAAAATTTGATTCAAATAAGCGATTTATGATTATATCTCATTTGTCTATTATCAAATGTTTACTTAAATCAAACAATTTTTATTGTTTGAATTAAACATTGAATTAAATTAAATGGTATTTGAACCAATAAATTCAGTAGTTGAGGCAAATAACATTTAAGCTTAAATTTGTTTACATTTAAATTATGTCAATTTGACGCAAATTGCTATTTATTTGCTACGATAAAATAAAATATTCAGGTTAAGTAAATATTTATTTGCTTCTAATATAGATTTAATGGATAATTGACATATAATTAATTAATTCGGTTAATTAAATTTTACTTGCTCTAAATAAATTTTTTTTTTCACTCTCTAAGTTGCTAATGACACTTGTTTCATTTAAAAAGACACTAATGCTACTATTTCTTGAACCGAACTTAAAATTAATTTATTTACTGGAAAAGTTAATTCCAAGATGCAAAAAATTAGAGGCGATAAAAATATCGCAAAGGAAAGAAAATTAAAAATTGAAATCCGTTTTTATTAAAATTGCCAAACTCTTTAAATTTGATTATCAATAATTATAGAATTACAAATATTAGGAAACATTTTGAGATTCATTATCAGGGTTCTCACAAAAATTTAATTTTGATTTTTCCTGATTTCCAAACAAAATTTTGACTTTATCCCCGAACATAAAGAATATTTTCAAAGCTTTTAATTTGAAACCTTTTCAAAAGTCAATTATTTCTAAAAATTCATGTTATAATACTTTTAATATTCAATTATTATCTAAAATTTAACCTGAAATTCATTTTTAAATCAATTTTTATTAGAAAATTCAACGAGAATTCAATTAATCTCCTATAATATTAATTAAATATTAAAAAAAAATTATTTATTGATTAATTGAATGTTTTTTAAAATTGAATTTTCATAAAGAATTTTATCAACAAATTTTTAAATAATTGAATTCTTTTGACGAATTCCTAACAAAAATTTTATTATTTATGAAAATAATTGAAACCCTATAAAACATTTTATTATTTCTAAAAAAAAAATTAAATTCCTAAAAGAAACATTATCGTTTACAAAAATAATTAAATACCTTAAAAGAATTTTAATATTTTTTTAATAATTTGAATTATTGAGAAGAATTTTATAAAAATATTATTGCAAATCCTATTTAAAATAATTGAATACCTGTGAAACTTTTATTATTTATAAAAAATAATTAAAAATTTGCGTAGAAATTTATCAAAAAATTGAGAAATTTTATTTGAATAGTAAATTTTGAAAATCATTGAATTGACAAAAATTTTTAAAAATAATTAAAGCTTTGCCAAGAATTTTATAAAAATTATTGAAAATAATTGAATTTTAGCAAAAAATTTTGCTTATTTATAAAAATAATTGAAATCTTCTTGAGGATTTGAAAAAAAATTTTTGCGAATAATTGAATTTCTGAGAGTAATTTTTTTACTTTTGTAAAGAAATGAATTCTTGTAATGAATATTGTTATTTCTGAAAACAATTAAATTTTCCAGAGAATTTTATTAGAACTCCCAAAAATAATTAAAAGAAATTTATAAATAATTGAATTCCACTTGAATTTTAATTATTTATGAAAAAAATTTATGAAAATTTTTTTTAAATAATTGAATTCTTTTCGCAAATTTTTATTAAAATAATAGATATTGAAAATCGTAGAAATGAGAGGAAAATTTATGAAAATAATTCAAATTTTGCCAAAAATTTTTTTATTTTTAAAAAGATAATTGAAATTTTGATGAGAATTTTAAAAATTTTTTGAATATAATTGAATTTCTGAGTTGAATTTTATTGTTTATGAAAATAATTGAATTTCTGAGAAAAATTTTATTGTTTATAAAAAATAATTGAATTCCTAAAAAGACAAGAATTTTATTTAATTTTTCTTTAAATAATTGAATTTTGAAGAGGTGTTTTATTATTTATAAAGATAATTGAAATTTTACGTGAATTTTCTTACAATTTTGAACATAATTGAATTTTTACTAAGAATTTTATTATTTATGAAAAAAATGGATTTCCTAACAAAAATTTTATTATTTATGAAATTAATAGAATTTTATTAAAATTCTTTTTTATTGAATTCTTTTGGAAATTTTTTTTAAAATAGTGGATGTTGAAAATCATTTACTTGAGGAAAATTTTTTTGAAAATAATTAAAAATTTTGACAAGAATTTTATTAAAATTTGTGAAAATAATTAAAATTTTGTCTAGAATTTTATTAAAAAATTTTTGAATATTATTGAATTTTGGCCAAGAATTTTATTACTTTTGGAAATAATTGAATTTTCCCAATTATTTCCAACTTCTTCAAAATTCAATTCTTGTTAATGTTTTTAACTAAAATTCTTCTACAAATCCATGATTTTTTAATAATTAGTTAAACGTAAAAATGTAACTTAAATTAATTTAATTAATTTTGAAATATTTAATTAAAATTATTCATTAAATAATTTCTATGTATTTCTAATAATTTTTAAAATTATTATTTTATGATAGTTTCTCAAAAATTAAGTTATTTATAAGGAAATTATTGTCAGAAATAGTAAAAATTGAAGGTTTTATATTAGAACTCGTGGTAATTTCATAATTTTTCGAGGCAAACAAAAAAGACCCCAAAATTCAGAATTCTTTTATAAATTTTAAAAATTTAATTTTTCCCACTAGTTTTAATAAAAATCCCTGACCGTAATTCTACTTTCTCTGACTTTTTCCTGAGTTCTCTATAAGTCTCTTTTTTTCTGTAAAAAAAATTGAACATGATAAAAATATCGAAAAGGAAAGTAAATAAAAATAAAAATTCGTTTATATTAGTTGTCAAACTCGCTAAAGATAATAAATAATTTAAAAATAAGGAATATTGACGAACATCTTGAGATTCAATATGGAGACGTTACTCTCCACCTGCGAACGCCAAGGTCACCGCCAGATGTCAGTTCACTTCTCGGAATTTACTTATTTCTTGGAATTTCTCCCGACATCTGGTGGCGACCTTGGCGTTCTCAGGTGGAGAAATCAAACCACCATTATTTTATCTCCCAAAAACTTTTTTACAATCAAAAAAATGCGAAAAATGTTTTTACAAGAATAATTGAATAGCAAATTTTCAAATCTTGATAAATAATTGAATTCTTTTGAAACTTTTATTAAAAATAGCAGATATTGAAAATTATTTCGAGAAATTGAAGCATATAACTAGGTATGATTTCCATATATCTAAAGTTGAGGGAAAATTTCAACAAGTATTTCAAGAATCGACCGCAATGAGAATTATTCACATACAACCAAAAATAACTATTTATACAGTACGATTGATGACACAATGGAAAGAATTTTCGAGAACTGATTATAAACAAATGCATTGAATTTGAATGTATGTACGTATACTTATGAATAAAGTCAGTTGCCGGTAAAACGCTGCCGGATCAGTGAGGCTATATATATAATATGCTGGAAGCAAATCGCTCATAATATGCATATAGCTATACAATCGTGAGTAACGAAACAAGGCAGAGAGCGTTGTCGTGTTTTACTTTTCAGTTGGAGCCAGTGTAGTGCTGACTGACCTTGATCCTCTCTTTTGTACCTCGTCCGCAATCCTCGATCATCAGTTAGTGTCGAGTCTTTTCCCGAAGCGATACGCGCGCAACATGAAATACTTTGGAGCACTTTTCGTCGCATGTCTACTCTTCGCTCTCGTGCACTCTGCCCCAAGTAAGACAAATTTTTCATCTTTTTTTTTTACTCCTCTTCTCTTTCATTTTTTTCAAAATTTTTTAAATTTTTTTCTCTTCCTTTTTTCGAAACAAGTATTTTTCTTTGTAGTCTATTTTTTTCTATCCTTTTTCCACTGTTAATTTTCTACTTTTCTGTGCTATCCATTTTTTTTTTTTTTTTTATTTTTTTAATTTTTTCATTCTGTTTTATTTTTCCTCGCATTTATCTTCCCGAACAGCAAACAAATTTTAAAGTAGCAAACTTTCAAGAATCTTTTTTTTAATTTCGATTCAGTGAATCGATTCAGTTTATTCAGTGAATAAAAAAAAGTGTTAATAATGTTTTTTTTTCGTTGGAGAAAAAATGGAAACATTTTACTATGACTAGCGAGGTTATCAACTTTTCTATATACCTTAATAGAGGTCAGGGAAGTAATTTCTCTGAGTAGAAGAAATTATCTACAATTTGCAGTATACCGTTCACGAGTATATCCGGACACTAACCAGTCAATTCGATTGAAAAATATATCGTCACTTATAAAAACGTCGTCACTTGTGCCCTCGACTTAAAAAACAAAATATATGGTCGTAAAGTAACTTTTCTCTTCAAAAATTAATTTTTCGGAAAATTTCCAATTCTAGATTAATTTTTTTTTTTTTGTCTCAAAAGTTTTTTTTTAATTGGCATTAAAATTTGAACGTTTTAACATTAACAATAAATGTGAAATGACGCTTATTAAAATAATGTATTTTGCGTGTTACAAATGTAATAAAATATTATACATAATATAAACTAGTAACGACTCGTGGAATGTTACAAACTCAACGGAATCTCTAACGAGGAATTTCAAATTAGATTGGTTTGCTCACGTGTACGAAATTTGAATGTCATTTACAAACAGAGATCCTGCATTTCCATAAAGGGCATTAACTTTTGATAGAGTTAAGTTTCACTTTGTGACAGTTTTAACAACACTATGCATAAACCGTCCAAAACGTTATTTATTACCCGATCATTTGTCATTTTTATTTTACATATTCACAATTCAAAATTAATAGCAAAATAGCGGCGTGTCCTTCCAATGAAGTAACGAATTATTAAATATATTTAATTCGCTTCCTTCTTGTATTTTGTGTTAGATTTTTTTAAATCGAAAAATTTTATGAAATATTTTAAATAATTTTATTACTTATAAAAAAATTGAATGTTTGCTACAAATAAGTAGCAGATTATAAAAAAAAGTGGTAAACTTATTTATATAGAACAACTTTTGTTCTATTTTATACTAAAGATATAATATTTTGACTTTAAAATTGAGTTTGTAAATGAAGAGACGTCTCGGAAATAAGAGTCTTCCTGTTGAACAAAATCACTTACAATATTTGTACATAAACGCGACTTGAATCTTTCGATTTCACACGATTACAGCACAAAACATTAGTTCACGCCTTCTTGCATTTTTCTCCATCATATTTATTATACGAGGAAGGAAAAAACCAACTGCATATTCGTTTACAAGGCTATTTTTTTCTTATTAGTCAAAACAACAAATTACGAGTAAAGAAAAGAGTCCCGCGTAATTAATTTTTTTACACAATTTTGAAATAATATTAAAAAATACAAATTAGTTTAGAGAGAAAGAGCAAAAGGTAGTAGAAAAAGTTTTTTTTAAAAAAATTGTTAAGATTAAAATTCAATGTCGCGAAAAATCGAGATTATTTCATATGTGCTGTATACATTTTAATAAGGAACTTATTTACCTCGATGAAACCTTCATTTTTTTTTTAGTCACCGTTTCTGACCTCCCCGTGGGCGATGTGTTAAACAAGAAAAAGAGAGTCAGAGAGAGAGAGAGAGAGAGAACAAAGCACATTTCTGAGATTAAAATATTTTCGCTTCTTGTAAAGTACTTAAAAACGCTAAGAGAGATTATTTTCCATTAAAATGCATCCTTTTTTTTTTGCAACTATACATCCAACGCAACGCGCCAAAAGAAGAGCAATTTTAGTTATACAAAAGTCAATTTTGCGCTTTTAATTTCAAAATTAATTAATCCGAAGGTCTTGAGAGGATAAGATTTCAAGGAAAGTTCATTATACTTTTACGGAAATGTAGAAATGCTAATTAAAAAGTAAATTTAACCCGACTGTGTGTATATACGTATATATATAGAGGGGAAGAAATTATTTTTCTTAACTTTTAATATAATAGACGTGGATAATGCAATTATGAAACAAACAAGCCTCATCACAGTGTCCCTAAAAAGTATTTTAGGGAAAATAGGGGACTGAAAATTAAGGACACTTTTAGGGGACCATAAAAATTGGTTAAAAAAAGATAAAAATATAATTTATTTATACAGGGTTGCCACAAAAATTTAACTTTATTTTTCCCTGACTTTTCAAACACAACTTGGACTTTTTTCCTGACCCTAAAGAATATTCTGATTCACTCCCTTATTCGATACTCAAAAAAATGTTTTATTAAATTTATTTACAAATTTCTTCAACAGTAAAATTATTCAATCCTTTTCAAATTTAAAAAACTCTAAAGATTTTTATTATAAAACAAAGAAATGGATTTCTAGAATTTTTAACCAAAGTTCTACTTTAAATCAATAACATCAATTATTATTCAATTAAACTTTTAAAAAAAAAATTAATTCTACAGAATTGTCAGTTAAAAGTACGAAAAACAATAATTTAATTCTACGAGAAATCAATTATTTAAATACAAAAACAAATAATATTGAATGTTTCTTAAAATTTAATTTTTACGAAGAATTGTATTAACAAATTTTGAAAATATTTAATTTCTTTTAAGGAATTTAATTAAAATTTTAATGAAATTTATTATATTAAAGAATTTTATAATAATTTTAGAAAATAATTGAAAACTTTTTGAAGAATTTTATTAAATTTAAAAAAATAATTGGATTCCTGAGAAGAATTTAAATAATATTTTTTGAAAACAATTGAATTCATGAGAAGAATTTTATTAAAATTTTTTTTGAATCTAATTAATTTCTTGAGAAGAATTTAAAAAAAAATTTTGACAATAATTTAATTTCTTGTAGGAATTTTTTTACTTTCGAAATAATTGAATTTTTTTGATGAATATTGTTATTTATGAAAATAATTGTATTTTGCAGAGAATTTTATTAAAATTCCTAAAAATAATTGAATTTTTTTGACGAATTTTAATAAAATTTTTAAGAATAATTGCATTTTTCGGGGAATTTATTTAAATTTGTATTCAAAATAATTGAAATTCTGCGATTAGTTCTATTATTTATGAAAATGATTGAGTTTTTAATAGAAATTTTATTGTTTATAACAATAATTGAATCCTCAAATAGATATTTAATATTTTCGAAAATAAATTAATTATTGAGAAGAATTTAAAAAAATTTTCAACTACATGATTTTTTTCGAAAAAATTTTTGCAAATTCTATTTTAAATAATTGAATTCTTGTAAAAAAAAAGAAAAATGTTTGAAAATAATTGTAATTTTGCCTAGAACTTTATTAAAGTTCTTGAAAATAATTGATTTTTGGCAAAGAATTTTGCGGATTATAAAGATAATTGAAATCTTTACGAGGATTTTAAAAAAATTGTTGACAATAATCGAATGTTTCGTAAAATTTAATTTTTACAAAGAATTGTATTAACAACCATTAAAAATATTTAATTTCTTTTAAGGAATTTAATTAAAATTTTAATGAAATAAATTATATTAGAGAATTTTATAACAATTTTCAAAAATAATTGAAAACTTTTTGAAGAATTTTATTAAATTTTTTTAAAAAAATTTAATTCATGAGAAGAATTTAAATAATAATTTTTGAAAACAATTGAATTAATGAGAAGAATTTTATTAAAATTGTTGAATATAATTAACTTCTTGAGAAGAATTTTTGAAAAATTTTTGACAATAATTTAATTTTTGAGAAGAATTTCCCTATCTATTTATAAAGTTAATTGAATTCTTGACGAAAATTTTTAAAAAATTTTGAAAATAATTTAATTTCTGCAAAGTATTTTATTACTTTTCAAAAAAAATTGAATTCTTGTCATGAATTTTGATATTTATCAAAATAATTTAATTTTGGAAAAGAATTTTATTAAAATTTCTTAGAATAATTGATTTTGTGGAAACAGTTTATGCGATTTTGTTGTTTATCAAACTAATTAAATTCTTTAACAAAATTACTTAAAAATTTTTGAAAATAATTGATTTTCTGCAACGATTTAAATGTTATTTATGAGAATATTTGAATTATTTCAACGAATTTTATTCTTTTATTGAATAATTGAATGTTTCTTAAAATTGAATTCTTTCCTTAAGTTTTAATAAAATTGTTAATAATAATATCATTTTTCAAGGAATCTATTTAAAATTTGTATTAAAAATATTTGAAATTTTGCGATAAAAATAATTGTATTCGTAAATGAAATTTTATTATTTATGAAAATAATTGAATCTTTTCGTAGAATTGTATGAAAAAGTTTTTTCTATAATTAAATCTGTTGATAAATTTTATGAAAATAGTAAATATTGAAAATTATCGAATTGCAAAAAACTTTTGAAAGTAATTGAACTTTTGCAAAGATTTTTATAAAGTTTTGAAAATAATTGAATTTTTGGCGAAAAATTTTGCTATTTGTAAAGAGAATTGAATTCTTGACGAGGTATTCGTGAAAATTTAAAAAAATAATTGAATTTCTTCGAAGAATTTTATGACTTTTGAAAATAATTGAATTCTTGGGATGAATATTGTCTTTTAAAAATAATGTAGGTTAGAACAAGTTTGTGAAGATTATGAGAATTTAAAATACAATCAACTTCTAAACATAATTGAGATTTGACTTCACCAAAATACTAATCTTACAAATTTTATAAATTTCATGAAAAATTTCATCGATCATAAATTTCAAGATTTGAAACTTTCAAAACAAAAGTTTCCAATTGAAAGTTTGAAATTGAACGGCACTTT